GCCTGACATTAAATAGGAGCATCACCAGGTCTCTCAATCACTTGTCCCATTACGGTCGAATAGGAGTCTCTAGGGTCCCTTGAACCCTGGAATTCTATCTTCTTTAAGAACCTGACACGTCAAGTGCTAAGCAGATGGAGAATTTGCGAGGTCTCCCTCTGCTCCAAAAGGCCCGGCCCAGCCGGAGAGTCTGGCAGCCCCGCGAGGAAGAGAACTCCTTTCTCCCGGCCCCTCATGCACAACTAGGCAAAGTGAGGCGAGCTTGACACTGGGTGAGGGGCGATGCGGGACGCCCTAGGAGCTCTCAAGACCCCGGGCAGGAAGCCGGAAGGGTCCGGAAGGGTCCGGGGGAGCTGGCCTCACTGCTCATCCTTGTCATTGTCCTCGTCCTGGTCCTGGTAGCGAATGTAGACGGCCAGCATGACGAAGCCCACGACGATGCAGAGGGAGCCCACGACCAGGTAGGCGATGCCGCCAGGAAGGGATTCTTGCCGCCCATCCACGAGATGCTGCTGAACACGAGCAGCTTGTGGCCGCCGAAGGTGCGCACCGGATAGTTGTAGGCGATGTCCACGAGGTAGGCGCTGCCGGGCAGCCCGGCCGAGTAGCTGCCCAGGTGGATGCGCACATACAGCTTTCGGAAGGTGGGCAGCGCCGCCGTGCGCATCCACACCACGAAGTCCTGGTTGACGAAGCCAGTGTTGTTGGGGTCGAGGCTGGGCTCGTAGATCGGCCGGGCCAGTTGGGGGCGGCGCGGGACCCTGGAAGGCAGGCGCCAGGCTGCCGTGGACGAGCGGCGGGTTGCGGAACTTGACGTGGTCGTCGGTCCACCAGGCGGCGGCGGCGCGGTCCAGCGGCACCTCCACGTAGGGCGCGCCGGGCTGGTGCTGTGCTGCGGCGTGAAGGTGTCCCTGAAGAGGCTGTTGGCGACGGCGCTGCGGGCAGGCCGCGGGCGAAGCGGTAGGGGGCGCCGGTAGGGACTCGCTATAGCGCCGGTTGTTCTGGTAGAAGCCGGTCAGCTCGTAGTAGAGGTGCAGGGGTCCCAGGAAGCGCGCGGCCAGCGTGAAGGGCCAAGCGCACAAGCAGGGGGGCGGCGGCGCGCGCCCCTGGCCCTCTGCAGCGCACACAGCGCAGCTGCCCGCCGCGTCGCCTACGCCAGTGTCGTCGTGCTCCAGCTCCGGGAGGGCGTTGGGCGAGTAGCACAGCCCCAGCCCAGCCCCAGGAAGGCCAGGCCCGCGCAGAAGAAGAGCGGCAGCGCGTTGCCGGCCGGCCCACAGCAGCGGCTGCCAGAAGGGGAGGCGCTGCTGCTGCGTGAACGCGGTGTTGTCAGGCTGGTGCGCGCCCCGCACCGCGGCGCTCCAGGTCTTGGCGGGCCCCGGGCGGGCGCTCCGACCGCCGGCCGCAGTATTTCACAGAATAATCACATTCACCATCTGGGTGCCAAGGTGGCTACATTTCTTTAACTTTTAAAGTGCTGCTTGGTCCCTCCTCCAACTCCACACACTCTCCTAGTCTGTTACTCTCAAGTCTGTTATTTTGTCGCTGTCTTCATCCGTCGTTGAGTTGTCTAACCCTGGGGTTCATGGCTAACTGGGGCAGAGTTCCTCTCTTGAGCTAATCAGAAAGCCCCTCTCCCTGCTTGCCATGACTGATCTCCACATTAGAAAGACCTGGAGCCTGGGATGCCTGTGTGTCACAGACTGCGCTGCTCGCGTTCTGGGTGTGGGGTGAGGGGCTGAGATGAGGAGGTGTAGAGAGGGAGGCGCATGCAAGTTTGGCGTCCGATTTATGGGTCCTTTCTTTCTTTCTTTCTTTTTTTTTTTTGGATCAGGGTTCGAACTCGGGTCCTTGCGCTTGCGAGGCAGGCGGCGAAACCATTGAGCTAAATCCCCGGCCCTGTGGGACCTTTCTAAGCGCACTGCCGGGGGTTTTGTCTGATGCCTCCCCTCACATCCAGACTCTGAGCTTCTGGCAGGCAGAATGTTGGTCGCTTCATTTCTGTCCCGCTTTTTCTCAAACACCCAGCACTAGGTGCTCCTAGCCACTAACACGTCAAAATTCTAGAGAAATATCAATATTAAGGAACAGTTGGTATTAAAATGTACATATTAAGGTAACTCAAAAATTGAGGCGACTCAAATGCCTACCAATAATGGATCAATAAGACAAACTTTGATACACGTAAGCAAGTACTGTGTACTCATTAATGCCAGGCTGGCATTGACTAAGCATGCGAGAAGATTTCTACGGCAAAACATTCAGTGAGAGGGTCGTTTCAGGAGACCTGTGGAAGGAATGGCCACTGTGTATTAGCACCGTGTGGGTGCATTTTATCCCAGGCTGTACACAGTCAGGTTGAAGAGGATGCAGACTGAGCCTCCTCCCGTCAGCCAACCATAGGTCAGAGATGAAGGTTCTTTGTGTCCAAGGGTGAATCATATTGGTGTTAGTGATATGATTTCAAGGCTTTAATTTTAGTGTTGTTTCTTGATCATAGATATTGCAATAATAAACATTTTTCCTGATTATAGCTCTTAACCCCTGGTTAACTAATTCCTTGGGCTATAGTCCTGGGGGATGATGGCTGAATGAAAGGTATTCAGTCTAAAGCTCTGTTGCTTTAGCTTGACGTTGGCCAAGTTCTTTCATTTTTTAAAAATTCAAGCCATATTTCTAGTGTAGATATTGAAAACTGCATCATGAAGCACTTTTTTTGTCAAGAAAATGTTTATACTGAGTAGATGAAGGAACACTTGAGAAGTTATTTTGGTCTGGGGACTGAACCCAGAGCCTAGGGCATGTGCACCCTGTACCATGTGCGCAGATACATTCCCAGCACCTGCCCACTGTTTTCTGTTAAACCTTTAGGGGTGTAGTTGGGTTACTTGTCCTTTGGCGCCCCCTTTTGGGAGAGTCACTCATTGGCCCGTGTGGCCCCTCCCAAGGGAGCTGCAAATTCTGAGATGGGGCCAGGTAGAAGGGGCAGCCCAGAAAAAATCCTGTGCTGGGGTGAGCTGGGGAAGGGGATTCAACAGTCACTAGAGAGCCCAGGTGGCATCTGTGTCTGCCCCCCCAAATCATCCTACAGTCTGGTCCGCCTCAGAGCAGTCCTTTCTCCTTGCACTGGATGTTTCCTGAAGGACCAAGCTGGTGGCCACTTTTCTTTCACTTCCCACCCATCACCCCTCATTCAAAACCCTCCCTCCCCTTCTTTCCATGCACAGGATGAGGCTGCAGCTCTAGCCTGGTGCGCAGGGCCCTTTGGCTTCGTTTCCATGGGGCTTTGGAGTCCTGAGTGCTCTAACTGCTCGTGGTGCTCCCTGTGCACCCTTGAGCAGGCCATGCTCTTTCTGCCCCTCCAGGGCTTTGCCCAGGTGGTTTTCTCTGCCTGGAGCACCTGGCCCTCTGTTCCTCATTGCAGCCCCAAGGTGCTCACGTCCTGACTGAGCCATCTCCTCCAGAGGAAGTCTTCCCCAGTGTGCACACTGTGTGTTTGCACTGCCCAGCGGGGGCCTGACACCCTGCAGCACTTGGGAAATAGCTGGGGAATGAGGAAAGGAATGTGCCCCTGACTGTGGAGTTTGGAGGTTCTCTCACTGGGGTGGGGGACATCGGAGAAAGATGCGCTGGAGAGTGTGTGCCTGACCCCACCCGAGCCCTGAAGCGGGGAGGATGAGCTAGCTCTGAGGCAGGGATGGATAATGAGCCCTTGTTGATTCTTAGAGGCTTCATCCCCGAAACTGGCTGCATTCATCTTAGTGACGAGTGCGTGATATCATCAGGAAGGCAGGAGACTGGAGAGTCCTCTGGCTGTCCTAACTGGAGCCACCGGGATCGGCGGGACACAGCTGCCTCTGCCTGAGTGTGGGAGTCTCCGGATCCATGTGCAGGCCAGACTGTGAGCTCTCAGCAGCCCTGCTGGCAACAACAGGTCAGTGCCCCCTCAAGGGCATCCCAGGGGGAGCATCTCAAGTGGGCTGAGGCACAACTGTGGCCCCCGAGGGGTTTAGGACCCTAACTGAAAAGCAGGACTTGGGACTTTCTCCCAAAGACATGGGTTTGAGTCCAACTCTAGGTGAATTGGGTGTGTGATCTTGGGAAAGCCTTTAAACTCTCTAGACTTTATTGCCCCTCCAGGAAAACAGGGGAAATGGTGCCTCCCTTATAAGGCCGTGCTGAGGATTAAATGGGATTGTGTGTTGGATGCGCTTCTCCAGGAGGGGTGGAAGCAGCAGCTGCTGTGATTCGGGCCTGCACATGGTCCTGGGGAAGCTGCACTCTGCCAAGAGAGGGCTTCTGTCCAACTCTGTAGGAAGAGAGGAGCAGGAGCCCCTGGCATCAGAACACCAGATGGGGGCTATGCAGGGGCTGGGGGAGGCTGCGGGATCTTGAGGCTCCTCCTGGGCCTCAGCTCCTGAAGAGGCTCAGCCAGTGAGGTAGCAGTGAGGTGAAGAGGGAATCCCCCGTCCTGTCTGTGCAGTGAACTGAGAAGGAAAACAGCACCACAAGTGCAGGCCTCAGTTCCCTTGGTAATATGATTGTTTTCATGTCCCAGTAGGTTATTGTTGAGTGGGATCCTGGCTTTTCCATGTTAAACGACATAAACACTCTCCTGCTTTAGAAAAGAGTGTGTTTCTCCTCACACTTGACCACAGCTAACTCCTAACTCAGGGTGGGCTAGAGGGGAGGAGGACACAGCTCCTGTGCCCAAGAGGCCCTCAGTCCCAGTGAAGGGACTTGGCTGTGTCCTGAATGCTGCAGGACAGCGTCTTGCAGAGCAGTGACTTTGAGTCCCCTCTGCAAGGGGACGGATGGCATTGAGGGACAGCACCCAGACAAGGTGCAGGAACCTGGGTAGAATGGGAGGGCAGAGGGCTCTGGGAGAAAGCATCCACCTGGCCGAGGACTGGCTCGGATGAGGGGTTGCTGTCTACTCGGATTCTCTGCTGGCCCCGACTGCTCACCCCTGCATCCCCAGCTCTGCTTCCTGTCCTGCCTGACACGCGGTGGAGGAGTCCCTCTTCAACACCATCCACTGCTGCCACCAGTATGCAGCCCGGGAAGGGGACGTGGGGACCCTGTTCCTGGAGGAGCTGAAGGCCCTGCTCATGGACAGTGTGCCCCGCTGCGTGGAGACCCTGGTGTGTGGGGTCTGGGGTCCCGGTGTGGGAGAACAGGGGGCCGGGGCACTTGCACAGGGCTGGTTATGGGCTGGGAAGTGAGTGTTGGATGTGAGTGGCGAGGGTGTTGAGAGGGAACTGACTTCCCTGAGACTCTCCAGCCTGGGCGGGGAGGGGGCAGGATCTGCCCGGCTTGCTTTCCTCTCTTTGCCTCCGCCCGGGGCTGCCGAATCTCCCGCCTTGTCCCAGTCCAGCTCAGCCCTGAAACTCTCCCGCCACCCACCTGTTTATCCCGCTGCCCTTCCTGCCTACCGAGCGCAGGTTCTGGCCTTCCCTATGCTCAGAGCCCATTCAGTCTGACTCTTCCTCAAACCCCAGGCACCTTTCTGAGCCCCCGAGGTGCAGCCCTGTCTCCTTCCCCTGTGTCGGGGCCCCTGGGGGTCCAGTTTTGGCTGTGGGGGCTGCTGTAGACTGGCCAAAGGTAAGAAGGAGCTCCCCTTCTACGGCCCTTCTGTCCCCAGAGTCTCTCGGGCCTGGAGCCACGGTCTCCTCCCCACCGGCGCAGCCCAGGTCCCAGGCCCCCGGGATGGCAAGGCCTCGGGAGGGTCTGTGGGCGCTGCCTTCTGCCCTCTGTCCCACGCCCCCGGTCCCCGGACTGTCATCTCCAGAGAATATCAGGTCCAGCCCCTGACTCAAGGCCAGTCTTTCCCAGAGGGGCGTTCTTTTGGCAACTTCCCAGCTCTGCCACTTGACTTTGGGGAAAAGCAGAGGGTCAGTGTGGCCCAGTGTTACTGTAGGTAGCTCTGAGGGCTCAGAGGGGAGCCGGGGCTGGAGGTTACTGTGGTTCGTCCTGCTCCTGGGAAACCCTTTCCCCACCAGGGCCAGTCCAAGGGCTCGGCCTGTACTGCCTGGGCCCTGTACCCATGGGGCTCACAGTCCCGCCAAGGTTGGGCTCTTAGGTGTAGGGAACAGGGAAAGGGGGCGTTACCAGAACCTCTGCAGTGAGTCCTGGTCTCCTGCGAGCCACGGCAGCACAAGGCGAATTACAGGAAAGGTAGAAAAATGAGACTGAGAAGAAGCTGAGCTGTGGGTCTGATCAGCGCTGCTCTGGGCGGCAAAGATGAAAGCCCCCAGCTTACCGCACCTTTTATTCAGTACTCAGTACATCAGGAGAAACAGATATAACAAATGACTTGCAGAGACTTCAGTACATCTGGGTAAACAAGATGGTAACAGTCCAAGAACAACGAGGAACTGAGTAGATATTTGTTCCTCCCAGGATGTTTTCAGCTCCCAGGATGTTTCTTGTCCAGGAGAATCACAGCATCCCCGGATGGATCATTGAGGTCTCAGTTGTGACCGGAGGCCAAAATGGAATTATGTCTCGGAATTCCATAGCTGGGCTGTACGCAAGAGAACTAGGCTAACCAAATGATTTTTCCCTAAAATTATGTAGCATTGCTCCCGACACTTAGGGACAGACACCTGGGCACAGGCAGGAAGCCCTGTGAAGGTGGCCCCAGCTGAGGGAAGCTGGGGAGAGGCCACTCAAGGTGAGACCCTTCCAGTCCCTCTGGCCAGTCAGCTTCGTGGGAGCAGCAGAAGGGGGAGTGGGTGAGGGGAGCAGCTCTGAAGCTCCTGCGGGGATGAGCATCTGCCCTTCTGGTCCCCAGATGCTTCCAGATGCAGCGACTCCCTCCCGAGGTGCCTCTCTTCAGGCTGAGCACAGCCACGCCCACTAGCCAGATGCAGCAAGAACTCACTTCACCCCCTGCGCAGTGTCCTCGCGCCCACCTGGTCCCCAGCTGCCCCATCTCTGGGTGGGCTGAACCTGACTTTCCCCATGCTGTGCTATCCTGCTACCTCAGATCCCTCTTTCCTTGTCCACCAGTCCCAGCCAGATTAGGGCCAGGACATCCGGGAGGGCTCCAGGGCCCATGGCTTCGTCCTTCCTCTCTCTGTGCCCTCTACGTGGGTGACACAGGCAGTGTCATAAACACTGCCCAGGTGGCTGTCATGGTACACAGACACCTGCCCTGGCTCGTGCTGGTCCTGCTGCTGTGCTGGCCATGCAGACGTTAGGGACAGGCGGACTCTGGCCTTGGGGAGCTCCCAGGGTGGGGTGGGGTGGCTCCCCGCCTTCAGGATGCTGCTGTGGGCTCCAAGCAGGCCGGCTTCCGTGGCCACTGACGGTGACCAGGAGGTGTGGGGGGGGCAGGCTGCTCAGTGCTGCGCAGGGTCTGTGCAGTCAGCCCGTGATCTGTGCCCTGCACACACTTGGCTCCGTCTGCCCCCGTGCCCTCTGTTCTGCTGACCTGAGACACCCAGCATGCCTGGGCCTCTTCAGTCTGGTTTGGCGGTGCGTGTTCATTGGCTCTCTGGGGGAGGAGTTTTTCCCACTTGTGAAGTGGGGGAAGGCCCGGCAGGTGGGCTGCATGCCTGCTGGGTGGGTGACCGTGTGCCTCTCCTCAGGGCCGGAAGGAGCCATACTACATCGCAGAGCTGTTCCGGGCAGCAGACAAGAGCAAGGACAAGCAGATCTGCTTGGACAAGTTCCTCTACATCCTGGGCAAGCTGCTGAAGGACTGTCACCTGCGGTTCCACCGGCAGTTGTGTGCCCGTTACTCTGCCCAGCACAGCCTCTACTGGAGGGAGGGCAGGTGGAGCCTGTGCCTGGTGAGGTGGTCCCAGGAGAGGAGCCAAGCGGAGGACTCTGCTACGTGTCAGCGTGTGTGCATGTAACGAACAAACTCTCGCACACGTATTTCCGAGCATTATTTGGCACACGGTTCTGGGTGCTAGTCAGCCCAGGAGAAGTGGTCTCCACCCTGGAGAGTGTCCATTTCCAGGAAGACCCAGTCTGGCTTCGGCTTTCACTCTGTGAGGAAGAGGGGGCTCTTGTCTCAGGCAAGGGACCCTCTTGACAAGGAAGCCAGGCCCCACCAGGGCTCACTGGCCGGCTGCACTGGACATGGACCCCGATTTCAAAGGTGTCCTGCCTCGGTGAGCCTCGGTGAGCTTGTACTGTAAGAGGGACTGGTCTGGGCCTGGAAAGCGGGGAGAGTCATTTCCAAAGGAGGAAACAGCAGTGGGGACCGTGGAGCATGTTCAGGAGCAATAAAAGCTTTGCTTGGAAATCAGTGTCCGAGGAGAATATATGGACTCAGTGGGAACGGGTGGGCAGGACCAGACTGGAAGTCCTCAAAAGCTGAGCAGTGGGATTTAGATAATGGGAGCCTGAGCAGTTGTGTAAGGAGGGGCCAGGGTCCGGGTGACCAGCCTTGCGCTTTGGGAAACCATCTGGGGGCAGAGGGGATGGGCCGTTAGTGCACCCTGAGCCCGGGGTAGGGAAGTGAGAACAGCAACACCTCAGACCCCGGCCGCGGAGCCAGCGAGAAGGATGCAGAGCAGGTAGAGTCTCGGTGTTAGCGACGGAGGGAAAGATGGTGTGGGCAACCGGCATCACAGGCGTCGGGCAGGGAGCCACCGTGCGCGGGGACACTGAGGGCCAGGTGTTGTGCGTGCTGAGTCGGAGAAGGGGACCAGACCAGGGGCGACGATCCAGGCTGGAGAACTGTCAACACCTGTCACGCGCCAGCGATGAGCAAGGCCGGGAGGCTGTCCACAAGGAAGGCTTCCGGAGAGGGAAGTGGCGGCTCTGGTTTTCACTAATGAAGCCTGACGATGGATGCGGGCCTTGGTCCTGACTCGGAGCTGCTCATGACTCAGCGGTCCAGATCCTGTGGCCCCTGACTGCTCCCCTCTGAGACCTGGCCATGCCCCATCGATCTGCATTGTTTTGTCCCTGGGAGCCCAGGAGTCTGAGGGGGTCTCCCTTGCCTCCCCTGTCCATCCCGGGGGCTGTTTTTTCTGAGGATGGGTCTGGAACCCAAGTCCTAAGCCAAGCTTATTTCTATAGAAATAGCTTGTTGCTATAGAAACAGTGGGATTTGAAAGAATGACAGGTGATCACCGCACTGCTCACCTCTGGGAAGACTGTGTTTTAAATTTGCAGTCCTGGGCATTGACCCTAGGGCCTTCCAACTGAGCTGCCTCCCCAAGCCCCTTTCCTGTTTTTTATTTTGACCCAGGATCTCATTAAGTAACCAAGTTGCCCAGGCTGGGCTGGGACTTCCTGTCCTCCTGCCTTGGCCTCCCAGAGGCTGGGGTTGCAGGCCTGCACCAGCAGCCCAGGCTGCTGAGGCTATTTTTGTCTGTTTCCCTCTGGTCCTACCCATGCAGAGGGGTACATTTGCTCTGTGATGATGTTCACTCTGTGCCCACTCTTGGCCTGTGCCTGCTCCTGACCCGGCATCCATGCAGCAGGGCCGTGGGCACGGAGGGCAGGAAGGGCCCCTGCGGCTGGGATGGCAGCACTGAATCTGTGCTCCCTCCCACAGGGGCCCTCAGTGGTGGAGACCCGAGCCCGGTGATTCATGTACCCCTTCCTGGTGCCCGGGGGAGTCCCTCCTGCCTGCCTCCCGGAGGCACCTTGGGTCCCACAGGCCTGCGCCAGGAACCCCATTTGAGCTCCACACCTTCCCGCAGCCTCTTGCTGGCAATTTCTTCACCGGTTCTGCCTGGTCTGTCATCATTCCTCGCCTCGGGCTGGGCTGTTGGGACACTGGGCCCTTTCCTGTAAACATGACCAAGTTCTGCTCCCCCAGGTTGCCCCACGTCCTTCAGGCTGATGACAGATTCTGCCATTTCTGTGAGCTGTTTACCCGGTTCTTGGCCCTCACATCTCCTACACCAGCTTAGCCTGGCTCCTGTTCTCTCGAGAGCCCCCAGGGCTGTCCGTCTGTGGGGACGGCATTGGCATGGCCTGGTGACAGGTCACAGTCTCACTGGTCAGCTGCACAGGCTGCTGGCCGGAAGCCATCCCTCATGACCGCCTTTAGTATCTGCCAGTGAGCCCAGGAAAAGACTGGGTAATGCCCTGTGGATAATTAGACCTCCAATGCCCATTTTATAAGGTTGCCGGGACTGTCACCTGAATCAGTAGATGTAAGCACACTTTGAAAATACTATGCTTTGCTTAGGCTTAGGTGGTGTCTGCCGAGTCCGACATGCAGTGCCTAGTGAATAACAGTTACGAACTGAGGGCAGATTATCGGTTGAAAACGAGCCATGTTACATGGCAGGAAGGCGCTTGTTTTCCTGTCTAGAGGTTACACTGCATTTGATTGATGGATTTCTATTCTACCTTCTTCTAAAAGTGATTTAAGATGGCTGAGAGTGATACAGGGAATTTCCACATTAGAAAAGGGATGGGCCGGGAATTTAGCTCAGTGGCTCCACCACCTGCCTCGCAAGCTCAAGGTCAGAGTTTGATCCCCGGTACCAAAAAAAAGAAAAGAGAAAGATCAAAAGTCCATTTCGCTGCATTTATTCCCTCAATAAATCCTAACACCACTTGGTTAGGGCCAGGTCCTGGGAGTGTGGAAATAAATGTAGCTTCCCTTCTAAAAGGACTCCCGGTCCCAAAGGCAGGTAGTAAATAGGTGAATCATAATACAGCAGGGCCGATGTTGTGATGGACAAGGAGAGAAGAACTAACTGTGTAGATGGGGTGGAGGATGGAGAATCAAAGGTGGACTTTGGTCTCTTGACACCTGAGCTGGGTCAGGAAGGGTAGGGAGCCTGCTACCAGGATGAAGAGGCATCTGGGGAGGGACAGGAAGCGAATGCTGTCACACACATGGTAAGTCACCTAAGTCTGGATTCCAGGCAGGTGTGTGTCCCTCCCTGGGCCTCTGTTTCCTCATTTGTACAATGGCAATTGAATAGTACCTACTCATAAGATCACTGTGCGAGTTAACTGAATTGATGCAAGAAAAGCACTTGGAACAGTTCCTGACACATGGCACCTGGCCATGAGTGTTAGCTGTTATTTTGCTACTGCCTGCTGTTGTGATGAACTGTCTTTGCAGTTCTGAGTATGCTGGACAAGGTGCTGTGTCCAGGGGAGGCAGAGAGGCACCATCCAGCCAAGGAGGATGTACAGTTGAGCTAGAGAATCAGGCATAGATTGGAGCAGTTACTATGGTTCTCTTGATACTGCATTTCATACAAAAATGTGTAAAATTTTATTAAAATATAATACATGTTTTGGAAAGTGCAAAAGTCTTACATATTTTACATCAATTATCCTTCCTCACAAGTTGGACATTTTACGGTGGAAGCATTTAAAAATGTTAAAACTGTAATTGTGGTAAAATATGCATAACATCAGACTTACTGTCCTTACCGTTGTAAGTTGACATTTCAGCGGTGCTAAGGACATAGCTGCACAGTTGACCCCTAGAACTCTTTTCATCTTCCAAAACTGAAACTCTACAGGCTGGACATGTAGCTTGGTGGTGGGGAAAGCACTTGACCAGTGTGGCCTGCGTTCAATCCCCAGCACGGGAACACGCAAACAAAGAAACAGACAAAAAACAAACCATGAAACACTAACTCCATCAAAGAGCGATTGTCCTTTTCTCTCCTCTCACCTCCTAGCAAAGACCGTTCTAGTTTTTGTCTCCGTGAACCTGACTACTCCAGGCACCTCACATTAAGTGGAATCACATGGTATTTGTCTTTTTGTGACTGTTTTATTTCACTTAGAATAAGGGTCTTAGGGTTCATCAATGTTGTAGCATGTGTCAGAACTTCCTTCCTTTTAGAAAGTGAATAATATTCCGTTGTGTGCATATATCAATTTTATTTATCCATTCATCTGCGGACAGACAGTTGGATTGCTTCCACTTTTTGGCTATTGTAAATAATGCTGCTATAAGCATGGGTGTACAAATATCTTGAGACCCTGCTTCCAATTCTTTTGATCATTCTATTTATTTTAAAGGAATTATTGTACTATTTTTCAGAGCAGCCACACGATTTCTCATTCCCATCAATAGTTTATAAGACTTCTAATTTCTCTACATCTTTGCCAAAACTTGTTATTTTCTATGTTTGTAGACTGTAGCCCACCTTAACAGGTGAGAAATGATCAGTGATGTTGAGAATCTTTTCATGTGCTTATTGGCCTTTTTTATATTTTCTTTGGAAAAATGTCTAATTCTTTGTCCATTTTTATTGGGTTGATTTGTTGTTGTTGAGCTCTCAGAGTTCTCTTATATTCCAGATATTAACCCCTTATCAGATACATGACTTACAAATATTTTCCCCATTCCATGGATTGAAGGAATATTCTATTTTTAATTGCCCCTTAATACTTGACATAACTAAGGCAAAGAGAAGGTAAATAACTGGCCCGAGGTCACACAGCTACAAAGTGGCGTAAGGAAGCCCAAAGGGCTGTGTAACCCTGAAGGAGGGAGGCCGATCCGTGCACATCCACAAGGAGGCATTGATGGCTTAGGCGCTGGCTAAGCACATGGTCAGTGATTGTTATTTGCATGAAGGAAGGAAAGAGGAAAGGAGTTTGCTCAGCCAAGTCATATTCTCGTCAGATCACATTCTGGAGCCAGATCCTCGGCGATTCCTTCCAGACTGACACACCAGCAGGGGGAAACTGACTCAATCACTTTGCATTCTCGGGCCTCAGCTTCCTCATCTGTGGACAGGGCAGGTTCCACGGTCTATCTTTCTAACAGGCACATTCTGAGGCTCCCATGAGGCATCGTGGATATAAAGTGCATTGTTACATGAGAAATACACTACGAAGCCACAGGTTTGGAAGCCAGTTAATCGGAGTGGTGCTTTGTAGTGGTGGGAGGGGTTGCTCCTCCTGAAACCCCGGGGAACTGGCCACTCTCTCTCCTCCTCTTATGCCCGAGGCATGTCTGGCTTCTCTAAAGAACTGTGCCCTCAATAGTCCACATTTGGGCTCCTGTCTTCAGCCCACACTCCTGGGGTCCGAGACACAGTGACCATCCCAGAGAGGGTTAGAGTCTCTGCTGTGTCCTCGCAGTGCCTGGGTGCCTTGTGCTAGCCAGCCTTTGTCTCCCAGGGCACAAGGTGCCCCTTCCTCAGAGCAGAGTGGTCGTAAGGGTTGTGGCCTGCAGGGTAGGAACTGACCCAGCCCCTGGCAATGCAGAGTTCAACCACCCACCCAAAATAAAACTCCCTAGCAATAAAATACTCCACCTTTCATTACCCAGAGCCAGCACCTAGAGTTCTTAACTTTTTCGAGGTCTTTGACTCTTAAGAATTTGGTGAAAGCCATGGAAGAGTGTTCTGTGCACACCCTCAAAATGCTGCATTCTGTTTAAATTCAATTTAAACAATGTGTCAACCGGCCACAAAAACATGAGGTTAGCATGAGAGTCTCGGCGAAGTGAGGCAGAGTTTCCAGGGTCCTGGGAGGGGAGTACTTGGGGTGGCCTCCTGGTTTCATCCTGCTCTTCCACTTTTCGTACCCCCCACCTCTCTGAAATGCTCACTGTGCAGTGATTGCCACATCTACCTGGTTGGGAAACAGCAGCTATGGCAACTCCGCAAGGCCCGAGGCCACAGCCCAGCCCAAGCTACCCGCTATAAAAGGGAGCCGGCACTCAGCCCTGCGTATCTTTCACCAACTGTTTTGGGCAGAGCTGGTAAGTGGGACTGTCTGGACCTGCCCCACACTTTGCGCTTCCTTTCGGGAGGGTCGGGGGAGTGGAGGAGCCTTCTCTGAGAAAGGGAAGAGAAAGGTCTGGGGGTCTGCAGCAAAGATCCAGGGTCCTGAAGGCCGAGAGCAGGGCAGGGGTAAGGGAGGAGTGGAGTCCCCTAGCACTGTCCGCTGGGCAAGGGCACAGTTACTTGCCAGGCTGGGCTTTTCTTGGGCCGAGAGTGGAGCCATAGGGAGAGTCAGTGGCACTGGGGTGTGCGTGTGTGTGTGTGTGTGTGTGTGTGTGTGTGCGTGTGTGTGCGGCACCCTCTCCTACACCTGCATCCATGTCACCTGTTAAAGATCAGCTGTCTGTTGGTGTTAGTTATTTGGGTGGCAAGGCCAGGTGAAGCCATTCCTTGGGGTCTGAGCCCTCCGAGTGGCAGTTCTCACTCTGCCATAGGCAAGTCCACTCTCCCCACCTCAGGATCCCCCATGTGGTTCCCACTTTCAGGTGGACAAACTTGTCACCATGGAGACTGAAATGGAGAAGGCCCTGAACCAGGTCATTGAGGTCTACCACAAGTACTCCACGGCTCAAGGGAACCACCACGCCCTCTACAAGAGTGACCTGAAGAAACTGCTAACTACCGAGTGTCCTCAGTACACGAAGGTGAGGGGGGGCTGGGTGTGGGCGGGGCTCTCCACCTGGCCGGGGCTGTGGTCTTCTGTGTTTTCCTCTGTAGGCAGCCACACCTCAGCTTTCTTCGAGATCTTTCAGCTCTGCCTCTCTCCCCTTTCCCCCTTCACAGAAAAAGACTGCAACTACCTGGTTCAAGCAGTTGGACATCAACGAAGATGGAGCAATTAACTTTCAGGAGTTCCTCCCGCTTGTGATAAAAGTGAGCCTGAGAGCCCATGAAGAGAGCCACAAGCATTAGGAGAGCTGTTAGGCCCCTGCACTTGTTCCTGCAGAACAATAAAGTTATCAATACCTCAGGCCTCTCTTAGTCTCTCTTGTGTTTCTTTTTCTTGGGAATGAGGTTCCTGGTGCAGGAAGGGTTGGAAAACTTGTGTTATCCTAGCCCGAAGTGGTTCACTGCATGCTCCCCAAACTATTCTGGGTCTCTTCCAACTCCATGGTCCTGAGTCATGGTTCTAAGACCTAAGGATTTAAAAAGACCATGGCACTGTAGCTGTTGTTTACTGGTTCCCAAATGTGTGATCCGGGACTCATATGAGGTGAGGTTAGAAAAACCGATACCATTCTCTAAGCTAAATTTCAGTTTCCAGCAAAAAGCTTTAGATGCGCCTCTTGGGAAATTAGGGAGATAAAACACAGGAGTGAGGGTGTGTGTGTGTCGGGGGGTGTCACAGGGAGAGACAGAGACGAGCCAAACAGACTGACTCTCTGTGTGTTATGCCTGCATGCGGGGGATGTTTAGACTCTCCCTTTAGCAAACTAAGAGATACGGTTGAGTGGGCCAAAATGGGCCAGGTTCCTGCATGTGGCAAGGAAAGAAATGCCAAACATACACCTCATAGGATGTAGTTATGTATATTGAAGATCTCAGGACAGCAGCAGGAACAGGCAGAAGGACAAAGTGGGGCAACAGAGCTTTGTAACTCAGGTCCCCGGTACTTACAGGGCCAGACATCCACTGGTTGGGTCTAGGTGCCTCCCATCGGCTCTCTTTGCTGATGTCAGCAATCTGCATGACCTCCTAACCTGGAGGCTGAATAATTGTTAGGGTGGTCCTTGTGTTTAGGGTTGAGAGGAACCAAGGGAGGTACCTCACACAACTTCCCTTTTTAGTATTCTGGGAGCCTGCATAGCCATTAGGGGTAGTGCAGTGCTTACAGGTGAACAAATGGAAGGGAGTGGCTCGGCTCCTCTGTGTGTGACTGTGCTACTAGGGTAGCCTCCCCTCCCCTCCACGTACACACATCTGTAATTTGACCTTAGGGATTTTGGAAGCTTCCCTCTCTTTCCACTCCAAGCCTTCCAACTGGATTAAGCGATACAGGAATGGGTAGGGAGGAGACAACTACATTAATAAAACTCAGTTCAAAGATTAGCTTATTCAAATGCTGCCCCATGGGATTATATGTTCTGGTGATCTAGGAACTATCTAAAGTAACTTCCCGATTGTCACATTTGTGGATTTTTCCAAGGGCCTGGTAAAAGGGGAATACCCAAGATGAATGAGTACCTTTCAACAGAGCTGAACTCCTAAACTAGATTTCCAAGCTGTGGTTTGGGAAGTTTGGTACTGTCCTCCTTTAGGTGTAGAGCAGTGGTATAGGTGCTAGAGAAGAGGATAAGGAAGGAGCAGTCATCAGAATCACTAAATCAGAGTTCTTAACATGGCCAGTGAGAATGGCCATCATTGAGAAATCAAATTATAGCAAAGCTGGAGAGGCTGCTGGGAAAAAGGAATACTTCTGCATTGTTAGTGAGAATGTAAACTAGTGCAACCATTATGGAAATCAGTGCGGAGGTTCTTCAAAAATTAAAAGTAGAAATTCCATTTGACCCAGCTATTCCCTTTCTAGGTATCTTCCTGAAAGAGTTAAAGACATGATATTATAGAGACACATGTGTACAAATGTTTATAGTAGCACAAATCATAATACTTAGATCTTAGAAGCAGCCCATATGCCCATCAACAGATGGATGGATGAAAAAAATGTGGCATTTACCCACAATGAATACAACTCTGCCATAAAGAAGGACAAACTTGAATCATTTGTAGGAAAATGGATGCACCTTGAGATCCTAATGTTAAGTGAATAAATCAGACACACAAGCTTAAATATGATAATGGTTTCTTTTATTTGAGAAACCCAAAAGTATGAATAAATACCAAGATAAAACATAGACAATAGAAAATCAAGAGATACAGATCTTTTACAAATGGGAAAGGGATCCAGAGATGGAGGGAGGGAGGAGGCAAGGAAAAGGAAATGAAAAACTAATTAAGATGTGTTATGGGGCCGGGGATTTACCTCAGTGGTTTGACCACCTGCCTCGCAAGCACAAGGACCCAAGTTCGATCTCTGGTACCAAAAAAAAAAAAAAAAAAAAAAGGATGTGTTTTGTACATATGAAAACTCCCCATGAGGAATGAAAGCAGTATGTACTCAAAATGTGTACTAACAAAAAATAAAAACTGGAAAATAAAAAAGTGGCCAGTCCATACATCCATGTAAATGAATTGAAGTTGAATGTAGCATTTTGAGTACGGGCACTGAGGGTCACTCTTCCGTGGTTTTCTCAAAAGAATCCAAAGATCCCAAAAAGGTTAACAACACTGGTCCTAACTAGACTTTCCAGCAGTGAAAGGTGGACTATTGCTAGGGGTGTTGCAGTTTGAGTGGGTGGTGGAACTCTGTGGGAATGTCTGCTGCCAAGGGCTGGGTCAGTTCCTACCCCACAACCCACGACCCCCCACAACCATTGTGCTGTGACAGCAAGGGGCGCCCTGTGCCCTGGGGGACAAAGGCTGGCTTGAGGTCCTTGTACACTGCACAAGGGACGCAGCCACTGTGAGGACGCAGCAGGGACTCTAACCCTCTCTGGGATGGTCACTGTGTCTCGGACCCCAGGAGTGTGGGCTGAAGACAGGAGCCCAAATGTGGGATATTGAGGGTACAGTTCTTTAGAGAAGCCAGACATGCTTCATGCACAGGAGGAGAAGAGAGGGTGGCCAGTTCCCCGGGGTTTCAGGAGGAGCAACCCCTCCCACCACTACAAAGCACCACTCCGATTAACTGGCTTCCAATAGGATGACTCACTGGGCTTTCTGTTTGTACTAGACTTTAATTATTTTAAAATGCAAATGCATAAAGTAATTTAGCAACTTATGCTCTTATTCGCTGAAGCCTCAATTACCAGCTAGCTTTAATATCAGCAATGTATTGGCAAAAATGCTTGGCAGTGAGCTGAGAGTTAAGATTAGGACTGAAACAGGCATGGGAGACTAGTTACAGAATACGGAGGGCCCAGGCAGTAGAGTGATTCTCAGTTTTGCTGAAGTACGTCTTCATTCACCCCTCAGATCTAGGGTTTCCACCTAAGTCAGAAGCATGAAACACACTGTGCAATGCAGACACAAGGATTTATGCAGCTCTTAGAAGCACCATAGTGGTCTTAGTATTTTCTCCAACACACAGTCCAAGGTGAGCAGAGGGCCCAAATATGGCCCAGGCAGAACAAGATGGGGAACTGTCTAGGTTTACCAGCTCACATTCTATGTCTCAGTCAACAATGAGGGGTAGCAATGGGAAGATAACTCAGGAACAGCCCACGCTGATGGTGGTGGTGATGGTGACAATGTTGTGTGCTTGTGTGTTTGCCAGGGTTGGGTTAAGAGGTAACACATCCCAGTACCTTTGATTCCTCTTAAAATGCACTGCTGGATTTGCTACTGACAGATTCTCTGAGGGAGACTTATTATAGTGTTTGCCTCTAGTTGAAAGTCCAGTGAGCCTGCTTTCTCTGAGCCCGCTCAGAGTGCCCTGTGGAATTTCGCCATAAGTGATGAATTGGATCCACACTGAGGCAGTAACAGTTTATTCCTGAACTCATGCTTGAACAGGGGAGGTAGCCAGCTGGTCTGACATCTCGGGTTAAGAGCAGGAGGTAAGCAGCATAGTGTTTGGCAGCGTCATAGAGGAAGCTTGAAGAAGGTCATTTACAAACACAACTGTGGCCATTACTGGAAGCCCTGGGCAGAATCAGACAAGGAGTATGGCGTAGTGAGGTGATTTTGTTTCCTGTTTCCCCAACTCTAAAAGAAGAACGAGGCAGTGGGAAGTTGAGAAATCAGTAGTTTGACAGGAAACCTCATGTAACATTTGAACCCACAAAGGAGACCTTGGCTCACCAATTGAGGCAGATCTGGCCACTGAGATTTCCCGGGCCTCTGAGGATGACCTTGACTGAGATCTTATTTCTCCATTCAGTTCTTCACCCAAGGCTCTTAACTTCAGCTGGGTTCCTAGTGATCACGACAAGAGCTCTAAAGGACATGGAGAGGATCTGGAATTGGACAGCTGGTTTCCAGCATCTGAGCAAGAGAGCTGATTGCAACAGAAAGGCCTCCCTGTACATCCGGCTGTCAGGAACCCTGCTACTCAGATTCAAGTCCCAACTGGAATCCTAACCGTCCAGAATGGGGGTGTTAAGCCTACATTAAAACAGGCCGATGAGGGGAAGGAGAGCTCCTAAGCTCATTAGTCCCAGGGAAAATGAAAAAATAATCTCAAACCTTGGAAAAGAGAAAATGGTGATTCTTGTTTTTCTCTCATGGCAGAGTTGGTGTGGATAAATGTACTTCTTGTTACTTGTCATCATCTGACACTTGAGAAAAGGAGTTGGCAAAGAATGTTCGATTAACAGCTTAAAACAGACAAAGAGGAGACAGGTTAGGTCTGCTCCACAGTGTAATCTGGTTTCCTGGTCTGGGCAATAGGTCAAACCCAAAACTGTCATAGCATGGGTCACCCTGTTAGAAACCTTACATCTACCCTAAAAATCTTACTTAAGAATTCCTTTTCTGTTTTATATTTTCTGAAATATTATTCAAATCAGCTTTTTAAAAGAAAAAAGTCTTGCTGGCTTTCTTATTAAAACAAAAATTTGAACGTGGACTCACTTCATTTGTTGTCGATAGTTTTCAGCACAGAGCACTGGTAGTTTATCAAATCTATTTCTCTCCTCTAAGACAGGTGATTGCTATTTCCATTTAGGTTAAGAAACTTGACAAATTTTCTAGGGCAGCAAGCGGAGAGCTACATTGGGTCTCCAGCTGTCACTGGCTTCGGACATGAACGTGTCCTCTGCTAGCTGGCAGGGACAGGGCAAGCCCTTCCTCTGCCTGCCTTTGGAGCCTCTTTCTCTTTGCCCCCCTGAGGATCCTGTGCTGTCCAGGGTGACAGCAGGTGCAAGGTGAGCTTTCCTCTTCGGGGCCTGACCTCTGTATAGGACTTCACCATTCT